CCGTTAAAAAAATAGGAAGCGTTGAAAGAAAAAGAGGCTATGAATTAGGGTTTTCTAAAGAGAAATCTTTATAAGGCATCTAAATGTACAAAATCAGCCCAAAACATTGTAATGTCTTTGTCTTCAAGGTCCCTTTAATAGTCTTACTCTTGAAGTCTTTTATGTTTTGTACTTGTTGTTCATGTTGTCTTATATATTTTTTTCACCAAAATCGGTTTCTTTTTTGCAGCTAATGCAACTCCAAAGCTAGACAAGCAAATGCAATTGAAACAAAGTAATAACAATAATAAATAAATTTTTAACAAACTAACAAGAAACCAAAAGACAATAATTAGTTTCTCGTCGATTTAGGTTTGGGAAAAAACTCTAGGAGAAGAACAAATTTAAATTTATGGTTCTCAAAATCACATAATCTTAAAAATAAATGATCCGTATAAGTAAACGTTTGTTTCCTCTCAATTGTATCCTTGTTGATTATTTGTTCTTCATCATGGAATCTAGGTCTGTCCGATGGCTTGCATTGTAAATCCCTCAAGGCTCTCACGCTTGGAATATGCAAGACTATAGATGGTCNTGTGGTTGAGGAATACTCATGTAAGTTCTAAGTAGATGCTTGCTAAGCTTGATAAAAGTGTATTCTGGTTCTGTCATGAGTATTCGGCTTACATGGTCCTGTTGCTGCAGTTTCTTTTAGCTATCCGGCTTCTGACAGCAAAGATGTCTTGATGATCGTCAACCTTACTGATGTAGGAGAAGCAAACCCTACTTTTGGTGCCATAACACCAAGCAAATTAAGGTGAGCTTCAGACTTTTTTGTCTTAAGTTTTAACTTCATTTTTTTCCATTAACTTCATTGTTTGTTTTTCTCTTCTTTCAAAGCCGTTCCCGTACTCTACAACGTGATGGCAACCGTTGATACGATGCGAGAAGAGGTTACTAAATTTTAACACAATTGTCCTGAATTGGCTAATCTCGAATGATGTGAGAAGAGTTATTCCGCTTCTGAATTTTGGCTAATCTTTCTGGTTTTCAGCACACAATTGTCCTGAGGCTGATTCACAATTGTCCTAA